TTCATGATGGGGGGGAGAGCAACATACATGAGCACTCACACTTTTGTCTGAAGCTTTTCCTTTTCTGCTGTTTCTTCTCTCCTTCTGCTGTGGTAATGTACAACTTGTTGTTAGAGAGTGTTCATGATGGGGGAGAGAAACATACATGAGCACTCACATTTTGTCTGAATAGCAGAAGACCATCTTTTGCACTCTAAACAAGAGACGACAAGGGGTGGGGTGAAGTCAGTGAATCCAGGCCACAGCATTAGTCGAGATTTCACTCTCTAACAAAAACAGTTGTACATTACACAGGAGGAGGAGAAGAAGAAACAGACAGAAAAGGCAAATGGCAAACAAAAGACCAAGAATGTGAGTCTTCGTTTCATTTCCTCATTACCTCTGCCCCCATCGGTACCATTATCCCTAAAGCAAATCGTCTCCAGGAGACGAAATCCGGGATTGATCTTTTGTTTGAGTCTTGTCGGGGATCTTTCGCTCTTGAAGGCCATTTCGATCACTCTAGACAGAGACTATTAATTAAAATAGCCAGCTTGCACCGAACCTTGTGCATGGGAGATGTCGACCATGATGATTGATGAATGATGAACGGAAGCGCTTTGCTCTTGAGCAGCCTTTGACGGCATGGGATCTCAACCAGTAAGACTCACCAGTACCGTAGCGAGATACTAGTAGACGAAATCTTGGTATCCACCAGATCGTCAAGGCGGAGACTTGAGCAAGGACTACTCATAAAACCAGAAACTCCAAAATCCACCGAACAAACTACTACTAAAACAACAACATGCCCAGCACTAGCACCAGCAAGAAAGAATCCGCTCAATTGGTCCACGAAAAGTCGTTTCTGTCTCGCGAGAAAGCGGATCACTACTACGCTCGATTGGAATCGGAATTGCCGTGGGGTCCCTTCTCGTGGGTCCCCGGTACCAAACCTCTGAAACAACTCGTCTACTTTTACGACGTTCAAGAACAACATGTTCGTCCCAACGCTTGTCTGGACGAACTCATCCAATTGGTGGAAACCACGTACCATACCAAATCCATTGTGACTTGGTGCAACCTCTTTCGCGATTCCAACGATCTCATTGATTGGCATCAAGATCAATACGGCATGTCCCTCTACGTGCTTTCCTTTGGCGCCTCGAGGCCCGTCGAAATTCGGCCCTACAATTGGAGTGCTCTTCTGACATCGGATGGAAGTCCGACACAAACCTTGTCGTTGGCACATGGAGATCTCTATCATTGGAACAAACAATTCGATGCCAACCACCAACATCGTGTGCCGGCTTCCGGTGAAGACGGCAAGCGCATCTCCATTCTCGTCTTGGGACATCCCATTGGGTCCAATGTCAATCCCGAAAAACTGCAAACCGATACCATGAGTCCAGTCTACACCGGTCAATGCAACAGCAATAATTGTCAAGGGTTCTTGGGACCCGCCAAGGCCACCATGACCAATGCCGAACGCAAATGTCAAACATGTGGAAACAAGTATCGATACGATTCCTGGTAACATCGATAGAGTTACTAGCTAGCTAGTATGGTAGTCTGTAATAATGATCCCCAACTGCTGCCCGAGGAGAGCCTGCATCAATACTAGAGTAGCTAGCAATACAATGAGGACTGGCAACAAGTTCCCATGATTGTCATGTTCGAGTCGAGTCGAGTCTGTGTGTGAATTGTTTCTGAGTTTCGGTCAATTGTTGATCGGGTGCTTCAGGCAAGGGCGTCATGCAGCACGTTCCATTAGTAATAGTGTCATTCCACCGTCTCTCATCATAGATTTATATATAGGGTCCCCACCCTGGCACTATCATTTTGGTTGTGACGGCAGAAACCCCGACGCCCAACTATCGTAGACCCGTGTGGTCTTGCCCGACAAGGCAGCTTCCAAGGCATCTCGCACATCCCCATAACGTATCCGATCCAACCACTGGTCGAATGCCAGTGTGGCTTCGCGCAGCAACGATATTAGTTCCTCCCTGTCAATATTGTTGTTGTTGTCAGAAGCATAATAGAGTTCAGCAGCAGCATCGTCCACTTTGAGTTCTACCTGGTTCCGATAGAGATATCGCAAATCCAAATCCGCTCCAATCACCTTTTGAATGTCGGGCAAACCATCATTGGCTCGAATGTAGGATTTCTTCCACGTGGGATCCGTAACGGTATAGGCAGCATCATCCCTTGCTGTTTGCAATAGTTTGTCGTAATTGAGATTGGTGGTATACAGATTCATGCAGGCTCGAATCAAATCGCCTCGCAGGACTTTGGCAGGATTGTATTGCTGTAACACTCGGACATCTTGGCTGGTGCCCCTCTTGGAGGATTGGTCATCCAGAGGTGGTAAAATGGTTTGGAGTTTTTCGAGTTGTTGTGGTTGTTGTGATGATTGAGCCAATTCCAAGGCCGCTTGCAACAAGAGTCGTTGTTGAATGGCTGGCAGTAAGGCTCCTATGGGGGCTGTGGGCTTTTCACGAAGAACCATGCGTTGTTCTCCTTCTCCAATGGCTCTCGCTTCTTGGTGGAAAGGAGGTACTAGTAGAACCAGCAGAGAACTCGTCGTCGCTGTCGTCGCCAGGTGCCAGAAGACATCTCGTCGGTTCCACTTCTTGGACAAAGCAGTACTGGTAGTAGTGTCCACTTTGGGGTTTGTTGTGGTGGAAGAAGAAAGGCCCGCCGATGTCTCCCACATGACGAGCAGCACAACCACAGCTAGTGGGGTCCGCATGTTGAGATTGTTTAGACAAAGTACATGTATGACGGTTCGAGAAGGATTACAAGGATGTTTGCTCGCTGTCTCGATGTCTTCGAAGTCCTCTCGAACAGATCAGAGTGCACCTTCAACTTGAGGCGTGTGAAGGCAGGGCGAAGAAGCATGCGCAACAACGGGTGATGGGGGGAATGCGGTGACGTCAGAGGACCCGAGCAGGAGCAATGCGAGAGAGATGATGCCAAAAGGGTCACAAATCAAACCTCGACACAACTCGCACCAAAGCACACCGTCCCGAATCACCTTCCAACATGACAATCGGATCTCTTGCTCTATTTTCCCTTTTTGCCACCACCTTGACAAATGCAGAAACCATCGAAACAGGCGACGTACTGGAAGGCCACCCTGTCATTAGTCGCCTCGATACATCATGTCTACAGGATGGAGACTACCGCTTTTGGTTTCGTGGAGCGGAGAATGCATGTACGGACACATTCAAGTGACTCGACTGTCACTCGTTCTTCTGCAGGCTAGCTAGCTATCAAGTAGCTGTCATCCCCAAACAAATGAATTCACTGACTCCCTCTCTCTTTGACAACACTCCCATTCATGGCAGTTGGCGGATTCTACGACATTCCCGTGCTTGTCAAGAAGAGCGGAGACGGTCCAATCATGCATCTTTCTTCAATCGTCCATCCATGGAGATGAGCTCGCAGGTGCAAAAGTCATCTTTGAGCTATTTATTCAAAGACCTGGAACAAACCATGGACATTGATGGAACGGTTGTCGGCATTCAAGCTTAGGTGCCAATCCAACCGGCATTCTGCTCCATTCCAGAAACTTTTACCAGACTGTACGATATCTGGTGGCTCCTGAACCGATTAATGCCTGGAGCACAAACGTCCTCAGATTCTGGGGCTCGCCTTTGCTACTCCCTCTGGAACGATCTTTACATGCCCTCCAACCCAGACTTGTTCTTTGACTTTTGCACACGACTGCAACGGGGTGCCAGCTTTCCCTATTTCATCTATGCCGATCGCAGAAATCACCTTGTGGATGACATTATGAAAGTCATGCCTGCCGATATCATCAAGGACGATGTGGGAGAGGATGGAACAGTCGAAACGGAAATGCTCAAGGTTGGAATTCCTGCCGTGACGATGGAACTAGGCTCCGCCAAGGAGTGGAACCGAGACATTAAAATATGCGAGGTGTCCAAGGAATCCAAAATGCAATGTCCCACCTGGGCATGTGGGAAGGTGAAATTGATATGCTTGGGATTGAGACGTACAGTTGCAATGCTTTCACCAACATTCGCGCCAATCGTGGTGGCTACATGGAAACACTCGTGGAGCTGGAACATGATGTCAATGTTGGCGATGTTGTGGGCTACCTGTACGATGCAAGCATTTGGCGGAGTTCGTGAAACCTATACTGCTCCAGTTGCTGGCCATGTCACCTCCCTTGCAACCGACCCCATTCGTGAACCGGGATCCATGATTGTAAGGCTTTGCTACCAAGTGGAACCAGAGGCTGATGATGAAGTTTCCATTGCCAACGCGAAGGCATTGCGTGGAATTCGCGGTGGAACCGAATAGGCCCAGAAGCAAGCAAGTTGCACCGGTACGAAGTAAGATGGGGAAGATCATCAACTAGCTAGAGGTGGTAACTTAAAAACTGATAGAATTTCTTGACCTCCTTTTGGATGGCAATGCTGGGTGAATGTATAAAAGGTAGCCACATTAAATTTTGTGGCAATCGTGCACAGACCAATATGCAAAATGAAGAATTCAAACATGGATGAGTGGCTCATTTCCTCACAAGGCTCACTTGATTCAACACTGGCAGCCAGGAGCATCAGTGTATCTTGGAACAGCATCAACACAATAACTTGGAACATCAGACATCTTCGGGCCGACAAAAAAGGTTTCATTAATCCAGCAAAGTGGAACCCCTGGAACCTGGACGTCATCAATCTTGTTCTGGGTTACATTGAAGACACCTAGGACAGAAGCAGTTGAGTTGATCAGCTCCCGAACCTCCTCTGGAAGGGGGCCACTAAACTGATTCTGTTGAGCAAGGAAGACTTTCAGCTGTTGCAAGGAGCCAATTTCAGAAGGAATCTGGCCTGTGAGGCGATGATTACCTTGGATCTCCAATCTTTTCAGTGGCTGTATCTGTCCTAGTTCTGAGGGCAATTTCCCAGTGAACTGGCCCCCATGCAAGCTCAGGACCATCAACCCTGGAAGATTACCCAACTCGGATGGAATCTTCAGGAAGAAAAAGTAACCAGAAAGATTTGTTGTGTGAGCAAGCTTGCAGCTACAACATCAAAGTCACATGCTTTTAGCCCTACCACCCCGGTCAAGAATAAATCATTCAGGAGAGTTAGCATCAAGGACGAGAGGAGCCCAAATTCGGTTGGTAGCGATCCAGTTAGGAAGTTTGAACCCATATACAGCACCCTGAGGAGGATCAAAGTTGGTCATCTCTTTGGGTATTGTACCTGTGAGCTTGTTTCCTTCAAGGAGTAGGCTTGTAAGGGCATTCAAGTTCCCTATTTCAGAAGGAATCTGCAAGAGAGAACAAACAGGGAATAGGTTTAGTAAGGAGGTCACCCTATCATATTCAATGAGCATAGCATTGTGTTTGCTAGCTTGGGGCACCTTCATGATACTTACAGTTCCTGTGAGGGCATTGTTGTTGACTGGAAATGCTCCCAAAGATGTAAGCTGTCCAATCTCGGTAGGAATGGTGCCAGAGAGAGAATTTGATCCCAAATAGAGCGTTTCCAATTTGCTAAGCCTGGAGATCTGATGAGGTAATGTTCCTGAAAGCTGATTCCCATCAATGAGCAGGATCTCCAGGTTTGTCAGCATCCCAATCTCCGCAGGGAATGATCCTGTAAGTCGGTTTCTGTCCATAATTGCAATTGCTAGATTGCTTAGCATGCCAATCTCACTTGGCAAAGAGCCAGTGAGAGGCAGCATGCTAATAATGGCTGCCTGCAAGTCCTGAAGATTTCCAATCGGTGGAGGTAATGTGCCACCAATGGGGCCCCCAAAGAAGCTCATGGTCTTCAAGGATGTCAGCAAGAACATTTCTTTTGGAAAATGGCCCGTCAAATTGTTCCTGTGCAGCCAAAGCTGCTTGTATGCATCATACTCTACATCAGCATCTTGTATGCCATCACTGCCTTGTTTGTCATGATGAATAGCTGTGGTGTTGGATAGCTGACATGGGTTTGGATGCTCAACGGCAAAGTACTGAGATCCACTCCGCAGGGGTATGGCAACGGAATTACTTCCATACCAGGTGCATTCATGATGAACGTGTGACAACCAGTTGTCATTTTTGGTCCAGTAGGGACCTCCAGTTGAATAGTATAGTGTTGCGAATGCAAACCTTTGGAGAACTCTCCATTCTTGCTCAACGTAGTAGCTGGTGAGGCTGAGATCTTCCAAAAGCCACGTGAACGCTTTCGACTGTGGAGACTCTAGCTCGTCAAGTGCACCAATCGTGTAATCAGGCAAGATCCCATAAATGTATCCCTGCAGAGACGATGTTGGTGAAAAAGTCAGAGCTGCGAGGTTGACCTGCGAGGGAGACACAGTCAATGTGGCTTCTGCATCTGCTTTTTGACTCTGTGACACAATCACTACAAGAACAATGATCCCAACAGCAAACACACCAATTCCTAGTAGAAACATAGTCCGTTCAGTGGCTCTTCATTTGTTCTATCAACGGCAGGCTCATGATGCTCATCTGCGTGCGGCAAGTCTTCAGTACTTTCCACAGAATTTGCCACTGCCAAGCCTTCAAGGCTATCTTGGACATTGTTTGTGGGAGCGTTGTTGTTTGCTAGTAATACTGCAGCTTATTGGGGAGTAATTTGGTTTTAGATTAAGCTGAAAAGCAAAAGTGAGGATTTTCTGTGGTGCATAGCAATTCTTGTGATTAATTGGATATAAGGACCCCGCAACACTTTAGACTAAAACTCCCTTGGTTCCTTGCATGATGAATTTGCATGCGAACCGGACTAGATGATTAATACACGAGTCAATAGAAAGAGGTGTCAGGTATATTTCCTCCAACACACTCCTGCAGTTGCCCTAAGTGGCTACCGTGGACAATAAATAATTTAGGAAATCAAACAAGGGTGGATGCCCCATGATGAAAGCCCTGTGCTCGTGGAAGACTTGCCCTGAAGGGGCTTCGTGAAAAAATCTCCACGCATTTCCAAGGTGGGCAGTACACAACTCTGAGGTTCCTTTTCCAATCTGATCATGAATAAAAAGAAACGAATGTTTAATGGCCCGAGTCCTTTTCCCCGAACTGCCTTTGCCATTCTCTGCAAGAATGATTGTGCTTTTGTTGTCCTGCATAAGGATGTTGTCCTTCACAACGATCCCCTGCCTTCAAGGAACAACTTTGCCCACAAGCATGGGCGACATGACATCGCAAGCTCCAATCAATTCCGCTTCCTGCTGCTACCTCGAATTCAATTTCTGTTTCGCAGACACAGACAGCACCGCGCCAATTCCAAAGGACAGGACTCCTCCTGTATGGGAACGTTAATCAGGATGGACTGCAAAATGATCATCCACCACCAAGTGATGATGCGTATGTCATCAATGGGTAGGATCAACTTGTCCTGCGGCGTCTGATCCAAAAACTTGAGGCCCTGGACCAACTTGTCCCAATCATCAGATGTTGGCTTTGACACTAGATTGCATAACACAGTAGTTAGAGTTGCACATCTGGTCGAGCATCGCTTGCACAGAGACAATAGCTTTGGCTGCAAAGGGTTATGGATAGTCTCTCCTGTTTTTGTCATTCAGGTGGTATGCCATCACCAAAGCTGCGAACTAGGTCAGCAGGAGCTGAGGAAAA